GAGATTACATAAATATGCCGGCAGTTTACCCAACATGGCCTTGTATAGAAAAATATACAAATGAAGTTGTCTACGTAGACTTAGTGACCTACCAGTTCATACAGCGTACAATGATGAGTACGGGAATAGGAGTTAGTTAAGAAGCGCAGAGCACTATGGTACACAGAATCTAACAGGTGGAGAGTACTAGAGGCAGCATGCATGTAGACAACGTCAGCTTTGATTCTTTTTGCTGAGCGACTGTGAGTTTGAGTGACCAAAGTTTGATTGTCTAGTAGTTGATTTAAGAACTATGTTACTACCACCGTGCTCAACAGTTGGTATTGTGTGCTTTGTATGTTTGAAATCCTCAAACATACTTTGTTTTGTCAGCTCAAAGTTTAAGTGTTTGTGTACATTGACAGCAAAACATCTTTCTTAATGTGTTTAAACAAATAATCCCATCCTGGTTTTGCAAGGACTTCAAAATTGATGTAAATGAATTAACTATGTTTACCTTTCTTGATAACAAGAGTGAGAAAAAAAAAATCCGACAATAATCAGCAGATGGCCGCTCACACTGAGCCTGGTTCTGCTGGAGGTTTCTTCCTGTTAAAAGGTAGTTTTTCCTCTCCACTGTCGCTACAAGCATGCTTAGATTTTTTCCTTAGATAGAAAACTTTGAATCAATTTGACTGGAGGATCTGGTTGAACTGTAAAGTGCCTTGAGATGACATGTGTTGTGAATTGTCGCTATAGAAATAAACTGAATTGAAATTAATTGAAATAATAATGTGAGGACCTTGCTGGTGGTTATGATAGCATGTGCTTACTTTTCTTGGCCACTTGCTGAGAGACATTGAATAAATACACTGCAAAAAATGTAAATCTAAATAAGTAATTTTTTCTTAAAATAAGTGCATTTTATCCTGAATTGAGACACTTAAATGAGACACTTTGCCAATGGAACAAGACAATTTACATTTGAAATAAGAAAAATCATTTGCATTGTCTTATTTCAAGTGCATGTTATCTAATTAACTTATTTTAAGTGTATAAATACTCATTCCATTTGCAAACTATCTTATTTACCTGCTCAAATTAAGGGTAAATACACTTAATTTAAGAAATTTTTACTTAATTTCAGATTGTTTTGCAGTGTATTAGTTGAATTGAATGCACTATACAACTGTGATATCAAGCTTTGGCATTTTGCTTTTCAAATTAATTCAACTTGTATGTTCAATTATCGGTCCACTTTGAAAAAGGAACAGTTCCATTAAAACATTAACGCTGAATATTAAAAGTATTGTGGAGGATTTTTGCAAATTTTTAAAAGACCTGCCCTCTCCACTTTAAAAAAAAATACACTTGCAAGAGCGTGCACGAGACATTTCTCCTCGTGCACGCTGTGTTTAAAAGGTGCTGTTCTTATAGCTCATGCTGGCTAACTGTGACCAAACGTCCACCTTAACCCCTAAATCCCTCAATCACTATGTAGAGCAGGGACTATATAATGAACTTTATAGCAAACTTAGTTAACTGACCGTTCGGACAGATGATCACTACTTTTTGCTCCGTTGGTCACGTAATTCCTCCTCCACTGCGCGGTGCCTGCGCCATCTTTGTTATTAGTCGCCGCTGTCGGGTAGCAACAGCCTATGGCGACAGTTGGCCGCTGTCACACCGCATCCCATAATGCTTTGCAAGGAGAGCTCTCTGTGTAAAGTATTCTGGGATATATCTGCCTCTTCTGATGCCTTTCTTTTCTTCTCATACACTTTATAGACACTTTTTCTCTTACGACCCTCGGCCATTTTCAAAGAATCGTGGTGAGAAAGGTGAAATTCAATGGCTGCCTGAAACCGTAGCTAACCACAGATATACGCCTGAAAGTGAGCATGCACAGAAAAAGATATCGGGACAAGCACGTAAGACGGCCTTATGTAAACATATCAACAGAATGATTGACAATTAGGAGGACCACTTATTTAGATGATCCACCAGGAAATAAAAAAATCATCCTCTATACCTTTGAAGGAAAAATATTAATTCCATATTTGAGTTGTATAAGCTTAAATGAAGAGGTATGGCTACATTACCCCTCTTTCATTTCTTCTCTCTATCTATCTTCACGTATTTAAGTACATGAATCTGAAGGTCTGTTGTTTCTTTTTAGTTTATATTGGGCCAGCTTGTCTTCGTTTCTGCTCTGGAAGAGGACATTGCTCCCGCACAGGCTGCAAGTAAGAATAATCCTTTTGGTTATTAAACTAAATAAATCCAAAATAACTTTGGTCTAAGGTCTAAAGCCCTTAGCTACGTTGAAATTAAATCCAATTGTAATATCTTGTTAATTAATTTTTATGCTCTGTTCCTTCTTTTTCTCATTCTGTCTTTAATTGTCTTTTGTTTATATCTTTGCCTCCGGTCAGATGTGACCCGGGCTTCAGCGGTCCAGCTTGTGAGCTTGCATCCCAGACCTTCCCTGCTTTCCTTTCCGAAGGTTTCTCCAGCCCCCGTCTCTCCTCCTACCACAGCTTCTCCTCCCTGCGCGGGGCTGAAGTCAGCTTTGGCTGCGGAGTGCTCGCCAGCGGAAAGGCTCTGGTCTTTAACAGGGATGGCAGGAGACACTTGGTCACTGCACCGCTTGACAGTTCCCAAGCCAGGTAACGTTAGAGGGATGTTAAATGTGCAGAAACTATGTGAAATGTTTATCATGCAGAGAAGTAGATCTGGAGTCTTCAGATAAACTACTCCCAAAAACTGGCTTGTTCCAGTCATCCATCACTTCTCTTTCATGCTTTAATGTCATACTTATAGATGTATTGTGTTTGGGGAAAAGCTTTAGCTGGGAGAAGATATTAAAGTGCTCGCTAAGATTCGTCTGAGAGAGAGAGGCAAAGATGAGGTTAAATATGGCTTTACGTTGGATTGATTGCGTCTGTTGCAGATGTAGCTGTGCTCACAGGGAGACATATTTAATGCTAGTTTTCCTGGCTGCATAGAAGAGGAAACTGTGCCGCTAATGAAAGCACAGCAAAAACCATAAACAGAGAGCTATAGATGGCGTTAGAACTACGAGCCAAGAGGAGATGAGATGATTAAAATCTGAATAAATGATACAGTACACTTGATTAGAAATCAACTTGTCTGCAGACACAGTAATATTGATTAGACCGTGTTGCTCTGATTGTTTCATAACTCAACACTTTCAAGAATACTTTTGTTGTCTACTTTATATTTCTAATCCCTCTTATGTAAATAGGCCTTTGTTGTTTTATTGTTTCATCATGACTAGGGTCATTTTAACTTTATGTCCTTTTGTGTCCCTAAAGGAAAGTCTATTTGTTTGTTGACAAATAAAAAGAAAGGAATACATTTTTATCGAAAAGACAACAAAAACTTTTTATGTATTTTATTAACAGAAGTGCAGTTTTATACGGAGCCCCCTAGGGGACATGGGGAATTTTTTTTCCATTTGCGTTACCTCGCAAAATTTTTCATTACCTCGCAAAACCTTTTGCTAAAGTTTTGCTTCCCACGCAAAACCTTTTGCGTGGAAACGCAAAACCTTACTTCGGTAAAGTTAAAAAGATATTCACAGATTCGGACTTCCGGGATCAATAACTCTCGTTGTTGAAACACAAATGGCGCCTCTTTCATGTCCTGATAGCACAGATTACGTATTACAATCAAAAAGCGTTATTTTCGAGAAAAACGAGCCGTTCTCCGGGCTGGATGTATTACATTGATCTCTATGCACAGGCAGCGGCCAGGCGAGTGGTTAGGGACCGTCTGCAAATGGTAAAATAACAGCAAAACGTTGCAAATAAAGATCAATAACTCAACTGCCATAAAGTGCAGAGACTCCAAAATCACCACACACACCAAGTGGCTCTTGGTGATCGCACTACAACAGCTGGTTTGGAAAAATGCACCTTTACTTATTTTTTTTATTTTTTTTATTGTTATTAAACATTAATCTCATCTTATTTTACTTCATAAAGAACTCCCATCTGCCTACCATCTCTGTGTACTTCATTCACAAAAAGTTATAAAAAGGTGTATTTTTCCAAACCAGCTGTTGTAGTGCGATCACCAAGAGCCCCTTGGTGTGTGTGGTGATTTTGGAGTCTCTGCACTTTATGGCAGTGAAGTTATTGATTTTAATTTCCAACGTTTTGCTGTTGTTTTACCATTTGCAGACGGTCCCTAACCACTCGCCTGGCCGCTGCCTGTGCATAGAGATCAATGTAATACATCCAGCTCGGAGAACGGCTCGTTTTCCTCGAAAATAACGCTTTTTGATTCTTGTAATACGTAGTCTGTGCTATCAGGACATGAAAGAGGCGCCATTTGTGTTTCAACAACGAGAGTTATTGATCCCGGAAGTCCGAATCTGTGAATATCTTTCTAACTTTACCGAAGTAAGGTTTTGCGTTCTCACGCAAAAGGTTTTGCGTTCTCACGCAAAAGGTTTTGCGAGGGAATGCAAAAGAAAAAAACATTCCCCATGTCCCCTAGGGGGCCTCCGTAGTTTTATGTACCTTTTGTCAAGAATCAATGCTTTATTGAAGTTTTTTTTTTTTTTTTTTTTACAGATGGTAAGTCTTTTGGGGGTGCCTCAGCAAATATTTCATATTTAGAGATTTAACCCATCTACATATCTTCACAATTATCTTACTCTTCATCAGACTGGATGGAAAGCATCTCCAAGTCATGCTACCAATTCTCAACATGCTTTAGATCCAGATATCGACAGCTCTATACAATTTACTTTAGCTCATGCAGTTTGCCATCCCCCTAAGAAACAGCTAACAAATGTTCTAACACAAAGGTCTTGTTTTAAATCTTATTTTCCAATAAACTGGCCATCTTGATTTTTCTGAAGAGTAGAATAACAGTGTTCTGTAAGTGGATTATAAAATGTTTGAATAAAAACGCTCAAAATAGGAATTATAAATAAATGAAATTCATGTATCCTTTAAATTTGACTTCAGGATTATTATCTGCTTTATTTTCTTCTATCATCCAAAATCTTGATAAAATATGTTGAATCTTGTGGTAAAAAACAGAAAAAAAAGTTAAAGTAAATCAAAAAGTGTAAATACTTTTGTTAGATATTGTTTCTCTTACCTGTTTTTCTTCAACTTTCACATTTCGCTTTTCATGCACATCAGTTAGACTCTGCTCTTCTCAGTCTATCGCCCTTTAAATCAGTGATTTAAACACATACCCCTAGTGGTCCACGTATGCATTGCAGGAGGTACATGGAAATATTTTATTACTTAGGTGGCAACATAAAATTGGGCTGGGATCTGTTTTGCTTTATGACGACCAAATTGAAAAATTAACCAAGCTTTTATAAACCAAAAAGCCAGAGGAACACACTGGATGTAGAAAACAGCCTGGGATCAGTTGTAGCAGCTCCACAGCACTTGAATTACTCAGCCAGTCTCGACAGGTGAATTAATTATTTAATTTGACATTAAATTGTCAACAAAAACAAATTAGAAAATTAACTTTAAATAGCTGGCTATTCATTACATCAGCTGTTTTTTCACACCGAGCTATCGGAGCTCAAAAGCATCTCAGGTGTTTGGATAAAAAACAAAGTCAAACTAATTAAATCAGTCCGACTATCAGTTTTGTACCGTTATTTGTTGTAGTTACTCAGTGGAGCTCCTATTTAATAGATATAGGTTTATTGCATGATTTTTATTTTGTTTTTATTGCAATTCCATACCAACTTCCAGGCAATACTTATATATATGTAGTTTTTTTATTATTTCCAGTTAAAAAATAGGGAAAACAGTTTTTTTTTAATAATCAGTTATTGTACATTCCACTTTCTGGCAATCATCAATAATTTGAACTGAGAGGGGGACTCATGGTAAGACTAAATGCCCAAAGGGGTTCAAAAGTCGAAAAAGGTTGGGAAACACTGCTTTAAATCGTTCATGTTTTAAACCGTTTCTGTTAGCTGTGCTTTTTTCCTCTCAGCAGCGTTTTTGTTTTGTCTTCTGCAGATACCTCCAGTTCACTCTGCGCCTTGGTAGCCGCAGCATCCTGAGCTCCTGCCCTGCTCCTGACCAGCCGGGCGAAGGTGTTTTGTTGCATTACTCTTCAGACAATGGCATCACCTGGACGCTGCTGCGGCACTATGCATACCAAGGCTTCCACGAGCCAAGGTAACTTCTGCGCTTGTCACCAGTGTATGTTTGTTATTTAATAAGAAGCTTAATGAGGACTCAAAAGGGACTGGCTCATTTATTTGGCTTTAGACATCTAAAATAAACACATTTTTCATTACAGTGGCATAAACTTCTGTAAATTTCACATAAAAGTCAGTTTAAATAGCTATATTCATTGCAGTGTGTTCAGAATCAGAAATACTTTAATAATCCCAGAGGCAAATTACTTTTGTTGCATGCTCCAGTTACAATTTTATATAATATACACACACATCCAACTATGCAATATAATAAAGATAAAAAAAATAAGATAAAAAATAAGAATAAAAAGTGATAAAATATATACAAATATAGCTCTTCTGTATATATATCTGTACGTATATCTATGCATATGTAAAAACTAAATCCAAATAAAGTGAAAATCCAAGTAAAGGGATAAATCCAAGTAAAGTGATACGTAGCGTGCAAAAATAGTGCATAAATGTCAATTTATGCACTAGTTTTGCACGCCACGTATCACTTTACTTGGATTTATCACTTTACTTGATGATTTGAAATAACTGTTCTAAATGAGCACAAGTATTGATACCCCTACTTTACCTTTTAAACCGAAGCACTTGATACTTAGACTTAGACTCAACCTTATCCCTTGGGATTACTCCTTCAGGGAAATTCTGGCTCCGTTAGCTTATATAGAGTACAAAGAATTAATGCAAGGTGCCATTATAGATTTAAAAAAAATGACAGACAATATAAAAAGAGTTTATATAGAACAAAAAAGCATAAAAAAGAAAAAGTTATATCGTGGAATATGTTTCGCTTAGATATATAAATATCTGCACAGTAGAGATAAGGGAAGACTACACAGTAGTTTTCTTGGGTTATTGCGCTTTTACTGCAGAGATGGACTGACCTTATAAATAAGTTTAAAAAAATACAAAGGCTACACAGTAGTTGGCATGTGTTATTGCACAACGAGAAGAATATTGCACATGAGTGACAATAGATAATGTTTTGCATAAGATGTTTAAGGAGGGGGGTGCTGACCCTTGTCCGTCTTCCTATGACCTCCACCTTCCCCCAAGTGAGGAGTTGTAGAGCGTGATGGCTTGAGGAGCAAAGAGTGCAGCATTATGTTGGTCCTGCATTTGGGAAGCAGCAATCTCCCACCGATCAGGCTCCTCTGAGTGGTGAAAACAGTGTGCAGAGGGGGGCTGGCATTGTTCATAATGTCCTGCAGTTTGTTAAGTGTCCTTGTCTCTGCCTAGCCTCGTGAGACCATCCTGATCTCGCAAGCTTTCAAGGTTT